TTAATTTCAAAATATGTAACAACTTTATCACATTTTGTAGAGAAAAGAGAGAGAGACAGAAAAAAAAAAAGACAGAAAAAAAAAAAAAGACAAAAAAAAAAAAAAGACAGAAAAAAAAAAAAGAGACAAAAAAAAAAAGACAGAAAAAAAAAAAAAAAAAAAGAGAAAAAAAAAAAAAAAAGACAGAAAAAAAAGAGAAAAGAGACAGAAAAAAGAGAGAAAAAAAAGAGAAAAGAGAGAGAAAAGAGAGGAGGAAAAAGAAGAGAAGGAGAAAAAAGAAGAGAAGGAGGAAAAAGAAGAGAGAAGGAGGAAAAAGAAGAGAGAAGGAGGAAAAAGAAGAGAGAAGGAGGAAAAAGAAGAGAGAAAATATAAAAAAGAAAAAGAGAGAGGGAGAAAAAGAAGAGAGAGGGAGAAAAAGAAGAGAGAGGGAAAAAGAAGAGAGAGGGAGAAAAAGAAGAGAGAGGGAGAAAAAGAAGAGAGAGGGAGAAAAAGAAGAGAGAGGGAGAAAAAGAAGAGAGAGGGAGAAAAAGAAGAGAAAAGAAAATGATTTTCTTTTCAGTCTTCTGCTTTTAACTAACATACGCCTTTGAATTTCAAGTTTTCATAAAATTAAAACATGTTAAAAAAAAAAATAAAAAAATAAAAAAAATAATAATTTCATTCATTTGTGATTAAGTTCTGAAGGTTTCATTAAAACTTTCAGAACTTAAATCACAAACGAATGGAATTATCTGACAATTCGATTTTTGCAAGAATTTCCAAAACTGTTTTTAACGCCAAAAAAGACGCCAATCTTTGGCAGACCCACTGACGAAAAAAAAAATAAATAAATAAAAATAAAAAATAAAAAATAAAAGAGAAGTTAAACCAACGTGCTAGAAAAGGATGAAAAAATTTAAAATAAACTATGGTCTTTCCGCTTAAATATTAAGGTAAACCTGTTTTCATTAAATTTGGGGCATTTTTCATCACAGTATGCTGCTGTTATTTTTGTTTGTTTTTTTTTTTTTTGGTGGTGGGGGGGTCGAATTAGTGGAGTTATCTAAGTTTTTAGTTCAAGATTCTTGAAAAAGTTACTCGATTAAATTTAAAATATTTATAATTAAACTTAATTACTTAAATCAAAAATATTTGAAACTTTGAATAAATTAAACTTTGTAATAATTAATAACATTACTTTTATTAACCAAAATAAAAAAAAAATGAGTACTTATTGAATAGTACAAGAGGAGCTTACGTGTTACCATACGGATGGCCAATGCGTTTCTATTCCTCCATGTTTATTATGATCATCCCACGCTTCCATATTTCAGCTAGTCACTACCATAAACCATTCGCAGTAACACCAATGTTTATTGGCCCACTGTTCCAGAGTTTGAAATTACAAATCTTTACAGACAGAATATTTCTAACAAACAACTTAAATAAAGATAAGAAAAAATTATTTTATAAACCATAAAGACATGAAAAAAAATCAGTGTTTAGTTACAAACAATATGTTCCAGACCATTTTTTATTTTTAAAATTAAAGTTTAATAAAAAACAGATCGTCACCGTTTTTAATCAAATCCTAAAGATCACATGATCGAATTTATTGACAAAAAAAAAAAAAAAAAAAAAAAAAAGCTAACAGTTTTTTTACTGATGATAAATAAACATTACAAACAGCACAAAGAAAAATGTACAAGTTTTCGACTATGGCGATATTTTATTGTGACTTGGATCGTCGATAAAACCTTTGACGACAGAAAATAAGACAACATCGATGAAGATTACTTAATTCTGGCTAATTTCCTAGCAAAGAACAAATAGAACAACAAGTTACAAGGATGAAGGCAATCGATAAACATCGAATAGACCACAACGTAACATTCAATTTCCAACAAGCTTCCTCGTCATGGTCAGCAAGCTGAACTTGTAATGAAGAATTGTAGATAAGTAGAGTACGATTCTAACCGAGTGCCTCATCCTTGTGGCCTACCAAACTAAGCTAAATAATTAAATTTCCAGCAGTTATACTTGAAAGATTTACATTAATCATTTTTAATGAAATTACGATTTTAGCCTGGTGCATTGGAACGTTATACTCCAACCAATAAGAACCCTAACGAGTACCAAGCGAGACATTCCATTTAGTGTCGCAATATTTTGTCTAAGGAAAATGAAATTAAAATATTATAAGAGTGAAATTATAAATTAATGAAATGTCGTCTGAAGTGGGCTGATATTTTTCTTTTTAAGTATTTATTAAGTAAAACTAAATAATTATGTATAATTGGGGGGAGACAGTGCAGGAGTGTACACGTGTATTGAAAAGTACACTACGAACAGGTAATAAAAAAAACACCACTACATCTTGTTCGCATTAAAAACAGGCGTAAAACTACAGTAAAACCAATAAAAAATCATGGACATTCATTATGATGTTGAAATACAAACGTGTTGTTAATTATCAACACGCTGTTAATGCAGAAGAAAGATTCTGTAGAAATGTAATTTAGATTATTCTTAAGAAATTATTTTAAATACGCTAAGAACAAAACTAGAAGAAATTAAAATGTATTTTTAGATGAATTTATGTGGTTTTCTTCCAGGAATATCTATAAAGGACATTCTCTATTGTACAATTACAATACATGCTGACTATTGCAATATGAGTGGGGAGAATAAAACCGATCACATTATTCCCCCTCCCAAATACTGGGTTGGCCACGTTACTCCTCTCGCCTACACTAAAAAAATAAATAAAACACTATTTTTTATTTATTTATTTTTTTTAATTCAACCGCTTTTTCTTCTTTGGTTATATCTTCGCGATCTCCGCAACAAATGATTTCTTTTACTTTTAATAATAATCGATAAACAGGCTTAGAAAAATTAAATAAAAAAGACTAAAAATATATGAACGACAACGTCACAATAAGTGTTTTTTTAAGCAAACAGACGAGACGATCGTTTGTCCAGAGTTATTTTTAACAAAGAATAAAAGAAAAAGTGGGGGGTGAAATAGATAATCCCAGTTTCTATTCTGGGAAAGCCCAATCTCATATAGTTTACCAACAATAAATAAAAAGAATCGTGTAGGATAAAACTAAAAGTGAAGGTGGGTTTTAAAAATGAAGCATCGAAGTGGACACGTCAGAGTCTAGCTAGAGATAACAACTGATAAGTAAAAAAATTCAAGCAGGAATCGTTCAATCCAATTTTAATCTTAAACCAAAAAGAAAAATAACAAAAACAAACAGCAACGGTAATCGTTGATGCAGTCAACAAAATGATTTGTCAGCTATTTTCGAGAAACAATCATGTGTTTTAGTCTATTTGGGGATAAGTGTCGACGTGGTATGGTGTATGAGAGAAAGGGGGTATGGCAGCTGGGTAATCGACATTACAAAACGATTGCCGAACGAAAACAGGAGAATGGGAGTCTTTTTACGATAAATAAGTCTGGAAATGGGGTCAGAAATCGACCTATTATCCAAAAACTGAGCCCACAATATTAGATCGGAAGTCCTTTTATTAATGTATGTTGTGAACTGTACACAAACCAAACAGGATTACTTTCTGTTTTAAAGTAGTTTTTCGTATGTCAAATTTATATTGCCAATGGCCATCCGTAAAACGAAATGGATAAATAAATCCAATTTTTGTTCAGCTCGGTATATACATAAAAAAATAAAGAAATAAAAGAAATACAAATAATATTATACAAATAAATATGTTTTAGCACAAATGTTTATAGAAGTAAATGTTTGTAGTTTTTGTAGAGTGGGTCAGCTGTCAGTATTTGAGAGACAACAGCAGTGTATTTGTGTACACGTAGTAAGTTCACCAACCAAATGACAAGTCAAAAACTCATTCATACGCCAAGTTTTTGAAAATAAACCACAGCAGTATACGAAATCAATTAGTGATTAAAAAGAATTACTTTTCTCATTGTGATTGATCTTTCTTTACTCTTAAAACTGCAACCAATGAACCAATTAATTAATACTTAATAATAATTACTCATTTCATTGTACTTGTTTCATTGACTAACTAAAATTCTCCAACATAAAAAAAGGTTCGCAATCAATTTTTGAACGGAAAAATACAATGGCGATAGCAATGATCTTTACTTTAATATTTAGGTACTTTTAAAATTATTTTAAAATAAGTATTTTTTTTATATAAAAAAAAATTTAAAAAAAAAAAAAAAAAAAAAAAAAAAAAAAAAAAAAAAAAAGTACCGATTTCTAAGACATTTGTTTTAAGTTTTCTTAACCAAAACTTGATTGAGATCGGCAACGAAAAACATTTTAAAAAATTAATATTAATTATAGAAATAGAATTTTTTTAATTGCAAAAATTTACTTTCAGAAGTTAAAAAGGATATGTTGGTGGAGAAATTTTTTTTTTAATAAAAAAAAAAAATAAAAATAAATAAATCCTGTGTCTAATAAATGCAAATATTTCTAGATTATAATTTTTAATAATCTTATTATATAATAATAAATTCAGTTTTAAAAGTTTTTTTTAAAAAAAAAAAAAAAAAAAAAAAAAAAAAAGTCAGTCTGATCAAAGTGCGCCTTGTGATGTGGCAACTGACATGTGAACAAACGAAAGAGTTTTTACTTTTTACTTACATAAAAAATATGTTCAAAGGAGGGGGGAGTAAACTACAGAGAGGGTGACAGCACGGGTCGTTGGACACGTCAACAATAAACAATAAATGATGAATATTGACAAATCTCCCCAACTTAAATAAATCAAGGAGACGACGACGTAACACCAGTCAGGAGGAAAACGATGACGAAGCTTGCCTTGTCGACGTGTCCACTTCGATAATAGGCTGCCTCCTTCTTGCCTTAGCCTTTAACGACTAGCTTTGGTTGCCAGTTTTCCGTCATCCACTGACAAAGATCTCCTCGAGTATATATATATATATATATATATTAAAAAATAGTATTCAAATAAATAAGTGCATATTTATTCAAAAGCGAAATGAAATAGATACTTACTGTACTGCGTCCGTAAGAAATCCGTCCTAAGTGTGTTATTTACACCTCTTCTTAGCCTCCACTGTGTGGTTAGCTTTTGTTCTGGAAGAAACAGTTAAAAATAAAAATAAAAAACATCCAAATTATACAAACAGAAAATTTCGTAAATAGTTAATATATTAAAAATCGGAAACATTTTTTTTAAAGAATCATGTACACATCGATCAAACGAAATGGTTATGCAATTGAAAGTTGAGAAACTAAAAAACCGGACGTTATCAGCAAAGCTCCTCATATTCAAAAACGTTTGATACAAATAGAAATTAAATAATTAAAATTAGAAATAAAATCGTAAAGTGGCGAACGGCAATAAAAAAAAAAAAAAAAAAAAAAAAGAGGCACAGAGTAAATTATGGATCTTAAGGAATTAGAACTATCATGCAAAATTAAAAACATGCCATCACTATTGTTTTAAAAAAAATTAAATTAAATTTTAAAGAAAATTTTTTTTTCTTTCTATATTTTTGTAAAACAACCATCTGGTCAAACAGTTTTCGGAAAAAAAGAGTATTATTAACCAGCAATAATTTTGGTGTTTTTTTTTTAACCTCTTGGACAGAAAAAGGCTCGTCTGATACACATCACAAGGCTAAAAAAAGGCAAGACATGTTTAAAAAGCTTTTACAACAGCTAAGTTACAAGTAATAAAAAAATAAAGCAATAGAAATCAAGTTGTATTAAAATGCCTCTAATTTATACCGACAGTAGTAGATCAATTCAATTTTTTTTAAAATAAAAACTAAGTTCAAGTTTTAAAAAATTAATTTTTTTCCTTTTAGTACATTAGATAAATAAAATCGAGAAAGAAGGCGTAGGTCCCAACAGATTGTATGTGACTACCTCAACGATTCGATTGAAAGAAGCAGACGTAAACCTATGAATTTTCACAAATCTAACAGCTGTGGATAGCATTCAAGACATCCGACTAGGTTTGAAAAAGAGAACTTAGGATTCAATAGAAGAAAAATGTGGGCTAAGAGCTGAGAAATCCCTACCAGCAGGCAAGAAGAGCTGCATCAAACAAGTCAT